AAGTTGGCGGGTCTGGCGATCTCCGCCCACCGATCATCTGATCACTCGCCGCAGTCTATACGTGGCGAGTGATTAGATAGCAGAGAGAGCGTAGTGTTGAAGAGGGCACAGCGATGAGAGTCGCATCAATGCTCAAATCAACGGGCAAGGAAGGGGTCCCATTTCTCGGGTTCTGGGCCGTTTCTCATGGTTCTTCCTTCTTTCGTGTACCACTCACCATCCCTAGTTAATTTGAAATGGGTTGCCTTTCCAGCGTGAATTCGTCCTTTAAAAGGTTTGAAGTGAATCCTGTTCACGTTCGTGCGTTCGACACGTGGATCCGTACCTACCATGCATTTCGTCACAAAAACTTCCGGTCCCGCCCACTGGTCCATGGTCCGTGGAAGATTCCTTTAAGTCGCAATGGAACCGCTGCCTCAAATGCGCCCGCGCTTTTCAAGCAGCGCCACGTGGCAACCGACAGCGGGGGGTGGGGCTTGCGGACGAAGGTGGGTTGCGAGGTCAGGACGAGCTTCTCGCACCATCCGGAAAAGTGAAATTTGAAAAAAAAAGAATGGCATGACTTGTTGGAGCGTTCGATAGTGTATGTTACAGAAAGGTCAAGACTAATCGCAGGGTTTGTTAGGAAATGGTTCCCTTTATCGTAACAACGAGTTCGTCTTACGTTATTGCCCTTTTGACTACTTTTCGTCTTCTGACTCCCAGTTTGCAAGTTCGCTACCCAGTCAGTTTACAATATTCGTAGGAGCCATGCGATACATTTTGTGGTCTTCTTGCAAATGTTACATAACATTAGATGAAAATGTGGATCTTAGAGCAAAAACTTCCTTTGGAAAAAATCGGCACTACTTCACCGTGCAACCCAAGAATTACAGGGGTGGCCAAAAAAAGAGACACTTGACTCCACATTTCAGACAGCATTAATCACACTTTGCTAAATCAAATCGACTGCCCCCAACTCAGTATTGAAGAGCACATTCTAATCTATCTAAACCTTACATGACAGCCTTCTACACCGACGACATCAGAAGATTTTCCCACGGAAACATGGTTCGCGATACGAGCTCAA